GCAACCGTTCCCAAATATCGGGAAAATAAAAAGAAGTCATACCGTGGTAAGAAACCTGATACTAGTGATAATCATTTGTTGAGAATATTGGTCAAGATTTGTGCACAATCACGTTAAGTGATTTTAGTATCAACTTGAGTGTACGAGCACCAATTTTAATATAATAATTGCATACTATTGGATAATTATCAATTAATTAAAGCGTTACACACTACTAAAGTTTTGACTTCAAAATCAAAGTCCGTTTATTCCATCCGGAAAAATTTTTACACTTGAAAACGTAATTTCTAAACTACTGCTCATTCACAGTGTCAACTTCCCTGAGAAGAACAAGCAATAAACTCTAGGGATTGCTCTTTTCAAATAAACTTAAATGCTATAATAATACATCTGAATCACATTTATGTGGAATCTAGACTAATGTTGTCCTTTCCATGCATCTTTATCTAACACGTAGTCTACAAATTTGTAATATGACTTTTCAATTAAAATACTTTTGATGCAACTTTTAAACTTATTGTGAAAATGTATACAGTTCCCCATAAAAAAATCATTTACCTTAGTTAAACGAAATCGTGGTACCATGAGTTTGAACTTAATTCTAAGGTTAGTAAAATGTGCTAAGTGCATGGGCTTTATTTTAATTCACCGGTAATTCTGCAAGCTTAGTGTAAGAGCCATTGAGTTATAAAGTTAATTCCTACCTAAAAGTTGCACTATTTTATGAATATAAATCAGTCATACATAGGAAGGATTTCTGAAATTCTGTTCTGTTCTGTGTCGTGTATCACCGTGTATCTCTAGGCCGCGTGACAACTTAATATCGATTTTTTTTAAAAGCGGTTTATTTATAACATTAGATTACATCATGACAATAAATATAAAATAATCTCAGTACAGAGTACTAAAAAAACTGACCTCAAAAGCACGTGGAATTACGTCTATTTGCTAAGTTTCATTGAAATATCCCCTAGTTCGCCACTATACAGGACTTGATACTGGAGATAATAAAAATAGGTTCTCACTACGACACTACTCAAAGTATATCGAGAGAAAAACGCCTTGAATTGGAGAAATAGCAAAATCAACTAAATAATTGCTAAAAGTAATTGCTCCTAAATTAAAGTTAGTCGCTATTTATAAAAATGAATCTTCATGCGTGAACAGCCACCCTTTGAGGTGGATGATTTTCTTCAAAATAACATGGGACCACTATGGAAATACTCCCTTTCCAACAAAAAAAGAATCATGAAAATCGGTTCACAAATACCGGAGTTATCGAGTAACATACATACAAAAAAAAAACCCAAAATAAATAAAATGATAAACTTTAAAATAGGTAGGTTAAAAGCTGTTTAAACTCAAAAATTACGATTGGCAACAATCAGAAATGGGTAAACGTCCGGGTTTTAACCGGATTTAAATGGGGTAAAACCCATTACTGCCCGAAATCGAGAGCAAAATCTATTTACAACTGAATATTTGTCGATTTCCAACAAATATTCAGTTGTAAATTTTTTGCTCAAAGTTAATGATATTATTACAAAATTTTCTAAAGATTCGCTTGAATATCGCAAAAAAAAAAATCGATACAAAGAATCATTAGATTAGATGCGCTTGAATCGATAGTCATAAAAATCGAAGTAGTGAGAATACACCGGATCGTGTGGTGATGTCTTTTTATGTCTAGACAAAAGATTTTTTACATCGACATTTGTAACAAATTCCGTATTCGTCGTTTCTGCTCTCGATTTTAGGCAGAAATGTGTTAAAAACCGGCGCTTTGGGTAAAAGCGCCGGGCGGATTGGTTGAGTTTTAACCCACTGCCCATCTCTGGCAACAATCTTTGTATTGGGTGAGGACTTATGAAAGTTTCTTCATTCAGCGCGCTTTACAATTACCAGATTACATTCTTTCGTCTTTAATTATTAATAAAAAATTACAATATAAACTTACCTGTGGATAGTCTCCGTCCTTAGTTTGATAGTCAAAAACATAGAAAAAAGCTTTTGGGCCGGTGTTGTCGGGAGAGCTAAGGAAGTCTCCAGTCTGTACAAGAGGAGCTACGTACTGAGCGTCGGAAATTGCTAGAACCGCTGCATCCCTGGTGTTTATCGGATGCTGAAAATAACAAAAATAGGTAAGTGTGTACAATTTCCTTTTAAGCAGAATTGACAAGAAACTACTTTTGTAAATAAATGTTTGGAAATACGTTACACAGTTATAATATTTTATAAATTTTTCACGTAATTTATTCAATCAGGTTTTTAATTGAGGCTATGAGCGCTAAAATGGTGTAACTCACATTAGATTTTTTTTTCTAAAATATTTACTTTGAATGATATTAAAGATCATGATTATTTTATAATTATTTGAATGCAATTTTCATACATAAAAAAATTATAATTTAATATTTGTTATACATGAAGACGAATCCAAACATAAAACAATTATGTACTTTAGTATCATTCAATATTGTAGAAAAAAAAAATTACGCAAGTTCACCACTTTCGCGCCAATAGTCTCAATTTAACCTACATAGTTTTTGACATTACAGTGTGCTGGTTTGACATGGCAGCGGTAGCGAGAGGCTTTGCTACGAAATATTCACAAATGTACGAAACTTTCTTTAAAAACCCGCTTTATCCCACTGGTGGGCAAAGGCCTCCCCCTCTTTTCCCATTGCACTCGATCTTGGGCAATATCTGGTCAGTCCTATAAAAAGGAGTACAAGTCATCCCGTCATCGCTAACGTGGTCTATTGCATCTCCTTTTTGTGGTGTAAGGTTCCCACTCAATGGTTATCCTGGCCTACAACTCGCTCGGCATCTTAGACATAAAAATCGTACGTATGTAACGCTCTCTCTCTACTGACAAGCAAACGGTATCTGTAACAAGGTTACCACCGTTTCCGTTTTAATGTTTTATAATTTATCTGCACTATGTTAATCAAAAACCTAGCTTACAAGTGAGCTCCTACTGGCGCAGAATTTCAAATTGGCTAGCCTCTTGAAAACTTTCGAATTTCATATGGTTTCATTCTCGAATTCAGGTTAGCAGTTGAAAGGTAATCTGATTTTAAATTCGTATTATAAAAAATTGGGTAACTATATTACTACGGTAATATGGTGTACTTAAAACGCAAACAATGTCTCGTATTAACAAAGTTATTCAATGCATATTATAGTTTCTAGACTTGGTAGTTTGGAACAGAAGGAATTTGGCACCACTTCGGCGCGTCCAAACAAGAACCGAGTAGTGCCAAGTCATCACGGCACCTTATGTCGCTTACAGTATAATGGACGGAAATAGTAGATTTACTTTTACAAGGTTACGGAGTACTTTTAGTAATTATCTTTCTTGGAGTGCTGAAGAAAATTTTAGAGGTTCTTGAACATTCGTTCTAATTATAGATTTGAAAGCTTGCCAAAGCGAATTTTCTTTAAACTGTAATGCCAAATCTATAATAGTAATTTATTCATTTTCTCTCAACATACAAGGTAAATTTTGTAAAGAAATGTACTGACTATCTCTTTAAATGTTAAACTTATTTATGAGAGACTGGTGCCTGAGAAAGGCATAAAAATGTCCATATTACAGGTCGCCAGGTCTTTGTTACGTGAAATGTACTAGAATTCAAGAAAGTAGCCTGCTTATCGGTTTTCTATCGGATACATTTCGGGGAGTGTGCGCTGGAACTTTTCAATTTAGTTCCGCCCTCACCGTTCCTCCTTCGGTCGACTAGAAGCTCCGGAGTACTCCATTATTATGTCGTTGATATTCCACCTATTCGCACTAAGCGCTTTGCTTCCTCCTTTCTGATGCGTACGGCAAAGGAATGGAATGCTCTACTGGCATCTGTATTTCCCGAAAAGTACAATTTGGCGCAATTCAAGGCTAGAGTGAATATACATTTTTTAGGCAAAGGCGTCCCATTGTCGGTCACATCGTCGCTTAACATCAAGTGAGATTGTGACCAAGCGTGTGTCTATTATATATTTTAAAAAAATAGTTTCAACTCAATTTTACATCAATTAGGTGAGTACAGTATATCAAGGTTAAGAATGGGATAAAAATGGTTGTCAATATAATTTAAACATTTCAAGGCATTTCATATATATGAATACCTTGAAATGATATATCATTACATTTAGTTTTTCATTAAAAACAAATAGTATTGAGATTTATATTACTGTGGCATAGATTAACTTATGTGGTAAAGTACTTATTTGAAAAATTAGACCTTAGCAACAACGACCAAATCAGTGACAAAATCTGACCTAGTTGGTAGCCACTAAAGCTTTTTGTGAATGAGTTCAGATCTTTACAATTTAAAGCACAGCAATTATTATGGCAGGAAAGGTCATTTACCGTGTGCATGACTTATTCGTTACGTTATTTGATACCGTAAAAAAACTGTTTGTTACGAATATCGTCGCCTTCGAGGCGTGTTATAAAAATTACTTCACTCACTGCCTATTATCGATGTACTGTGATTTCCTAGTCCAATGAACTAAGCACAATTCTATATTGGAAACTGCTCCGTCCTAGGCAAACGTGATATTTTGTACGTTTCTCACTGTTCTGTTTGTACAAAGAGGGAGTTTCATAAAACGGGGTGTGTATGGAAAATGTAATGTATGTGCATGAATTCTTGAACAATCTCAAGTCCTGTTTTGTATCTCTAACGTAACATGATTCTATATTTGAAAAACTATTTGTGCCTTTGTCTTGCTTTTTTGAAAAATATTGCGAAAAGCTTCCAATTTTTTTTTTAATTTTCAGACCATTATGTCATTTACTGGTTTCTCTTTTTGATAAAATTACGTTGGACGCTTTTTATGATATCAAGTCACGTGCTAACCCATAATAGTTGCAACGCCACTCAAACTTTAAGTCGTAAAGCCCTTAAGGGCACTTCCACTGCGCCCTTCATATTGAGATATAAAGTTGACAAGTCCCATGTGTCTGTAATTTCACCAGCATTCAAATTGGCAGCAGAAATATATATGGTGGTAGAATTTTTCTGGACGAACTCTTTCACAAGGAGGTCCGCTGCTATTATAGGCAATGTCGTCCTTCTCTACCGCTGTGTGACGGTGTGATCTCCTTACACCATCATCTCATCTCTTTGTATCGCCTCTCTCCGCTTGTATCCTACCATTTTTTATTTTAAATTTTAAATTTGAACTGTTCCATCTCCCTTCACTTTCTCATTTTGTTTTCGTACCACGGTCACTCCCAGCTCGACCGCCACAACAGTCTGAGCTGTTAATAAGCTAATCATGTGTAAAAATTTATAAGTCTACACCCTTCATGTATCTATTTCTGTAATTCAGTTTCTCGGCCCATTTAGGGGTAAGTGCCTTAATAATAAAGTGTAGGGAGTGTTTTATACTGTTATACCTGTTTTTTTACATATACCTTTATATTGTTATAGCCTTTCTTTAAACTTTACTTCTTTAATAAATTTTGTGGACCCCATTTCATTGTGTTTCCCATTTCATTGCCGTGAACCTGTTCACGGCTAGTTAGGGTTACAACCCTTTCAGCTGTATCTGATTTTGTTGCCATAAGTGAATTAGACTTATGCGGAGTAATAGGTTAGCGTGGTGTGGACATGTTATGTGCAGGGAAGAGTGATATATATGAATGAGGAGGGACATAAGGGGAGAGGAAAACTAAAGAAATGATGGATGGATTATGTAAAAGATGACATGGATAAGAAAGGTGTGGGTATGGAAATGATGGCTGATAGGCGAGAGTGGAAGAAAAGTACATGTTATACCGACCCCACCTAGCGACGATTAAGAACAAGAAGACTTATGAACTTACACAGTTTTCGAAATAAAGCATTATCTACAAATTCTCGTATAGCATGCTCTTTTTTTATATAAAAACGCACATACTCATAGCCCCATACTAGGGAAACCCTGTATCGCGGATGCCATGGACACACACAAAGACAAATTACTCCCAAACTCGTGAGAAATTAATATAGGCCATACAAATACTTTTCCCGGTCAGGAAATCCAACCCGAGACCTCTGTGTAGTAAACCCGGTCCCCAAGCTTGACAATTTTAAAACATTTCAGTTAAGTGTCGATACGTCGAGTGCCAATAATAGGATTTTGTGCGTTTGGTATTCTGCTAACAGTTCAGAACAGTGGTTTGTCAGTGACTAGCCGTCGAGCAACTGCCATTGCTATTCTTTAGTATTCTGCTCTTCAATATTTACATACTCTAATATTTCACCCGGCCCGGGAATCGAACCCGGGACCTCTGCGTCCGGCACGGCAACCGTTCGGCCACAGAGGCAGTTAAGAGGCTATACTACTTCAAATGACTGGTTGAATCCGCATAACAGTGAAAATGTTGAATCAAAAAAAAATATATAGTGAAATTGAGGATGTACAATGACTGAAAAGAAAACACAAACTAAAATTCGAAATTTTACAAGACAACCCCTGTATTTAATAGGTACTTTTCATATGCCAATGATTGTATTTATACCAACTAAACTAAATGGAACACGTATAATATAAGATATAATTTTTCAAATAGCTTTAATTTCGAGTTCTTAGGTTTTCGCGATTGTTACACATAGGAAATGAAACTATTTTTCCGGATTTAAATCGCGTATATTTGTTTTTTCAAACAAACCGACGTTTCGGGCCCTTTACAGGTCCCATGGTCACGGTTGACTGAACCGTGTCACCGAACCGAACCGAACACAGTCAACCGTGACCATGGGACCTGTAAAGGGCCCGAAACGTCGGTTTGTTTGAAAAAACAAATATACGCGATTTAAATCCGGAAAAATAGTTTCATTTCCTAAGCTTTAATTTCGTTTTTAAAAAAAATGAATTCCGAAATAAAGCCAGTGTCCCTAACTCTCGGCCAGCTCGACCTAAGTAAAATGAACCGTATTAGTACGGGAAAAAAATTAATTCGAGTAACAGAACAATAAACTTAAGTCTGGATGTTCCTAGAAACCAAACCAATTTAGTAAAGCAAATTTAGTAAAAAAAAAAGTCCTACAGGGACCTCCTCCTTCTGCGCCCACCTAGGAAACCTAGGAAACTTGAAGGTATTTTTCCTTTTTATAAGTGTCTATACACGTAGCCGCAGGTCATGAAATAACAACGAAAAATGCGTGCGCTTCTCTTCGGCAGTCCGAGCAAAACAAGCAACGGCTTTTTAGGTCGTATTGCATGGATATAAAATTTTCGGACCGACTCAAGCCGATTTCGCTTTAATGAGTGTTGTGACACCCTAATAAATAATGCAGGTAGGTTAGATTCTTTTCACGACTGAGGTTTATTCCAAGAGTTTATACCAAAATTTAAATTGCACGTTTTTTATCACAGCTTTTTACCCCTTTTGATGAAACTCCGCGGTTTTAAACAAAATTTCCCTCGGGATTTGACTTGTTTAGCAGTCTGGATTGATTTTGATTAGTACTGCGGTATAAGAGAGAGAAAAAAAATTGTTTGAAGTAACGTCGGAATCAGTTTTAACTGGTATTGAGTTCTCGTGACTTTTCAACAGAGAAAGTTGTCAAGAAAAGTGGAATCAACAACTCAGTGATATTTTGCAAAATTGAGCAAATTTCGTTTCCAATATTGGTCTAATCTAGCGCCTAACCTCTTCAGCTAACCAATGGACCATCAAATGCAGAAAGTATACCATTAATTCTTTTATTCTTGAACCTGAATCCCCAACTACATATATATCGCCTCTCTCACTTAAAAATTTCAATTATCTTTTAACACATACGAGATATACAATACGTTTCCCTAGTGCGGGGCTGTGAGTGTATTGTTATGAGTGAATTATGAGTGTGAGTGTAGAAATCGCGAAAGTAAGTATTCGGTAATTCAAGAAATATATATTATAGGAAAGCTTACGAACGAAGGCAGAAAACAAAAAGATAACCATCAATCATCCATCAATGAATTGTGGTGCACAGATAAACCTACTCAGGTTTTTGTTGGGCCGCCATGTTTAAATTATAGATAGCTCAGAAGTACCCCAACCCCACCAACGCAGGCTTCACCATAACGTGAACGTCGAGCTCCTTAACCACACAAATAGATATTATAAGACGTCTAAAGCGGATAAAACCATTTGAACTAGTGTACTATTAGTGTATAATTAAACTAAATGAACATGACATATATATAAGTGTTTTCGCCTTAGTAAATAATAAGAAAATTGGCAGTGGGTGAATTCTTAGTTTACTTTGTTTATTTATTACTTTAAGTGAAATGTAAATTACTTATTAGTTTTGTATTTGACTAGATTGTAATGCATTTATAATGTACTTTACTAGTACTTATAAATAAATGAAAACAAAATGGTTAAATTAATCAATGGTTTTGTTTTGTAAAATTTTTTAATTGCAAGAAATTTAATTGTAATTGAGCTTTTCGGTGGAGGAAAATATCGAGGAAGTCTGCATACCCGCTCACGCGATGCGCTCATCCTACCGCAAAATGGCGGCTATTTGGTTTCGCAAATTAGAAAAGGATTCAGTTTAAATACAAGCTTTTAAAAATAAAAATTATTAATATTCTTCTGCATTAATTATTATTCTGCATTGCTAAATAAATACCCTTAGTACTACAACAAAAACATCTCAAATAAAATGCAGTAATACACCGCAAATCCTGCACTTAAAAAACACTAATGAAATTTTTGGTGTACTTGGGTAAATATGATAATATTCCGTTTGAGTGGTTCTAATGTTTACCATGAAATTACTCCTTAAAATATAGTTTATAAACATTTATAATCAGGGTAAACTTAAAAAACGCAACTTACGGTATGTTTTCAATAAATAAACACCGCCATCACCAGCCCAAACAATATCACACACGATTGTCGTGACGTATTTTTTAAGTTGTTTATTTTTTTTAAATGACAGACCCAGGCATTAAAAACTTTATGGTTTGCTAGAGTAGTTACCGAAATAGCAATTAGTATTAGTTCTTTTACCTGTTATAACTTCGATATCCGATAAATCAGTATAAAATCACCACCGGAACCTCTAGGTGTCGTATGCTTCCAGAGACGCATGAATCACGTGAGCGGATACATCGGCAATGTTATTTAAATGATATTATGATTAAAGTTCTCAATTCCTACTGTGAGATAAGGCCTCTGCCCTAACAGTGGAATTACAATAAACTAACTATTATTTTAAAATAATTTATTACAAACAAGAATAAACTCACCTGTACAGTCCTTTCCCAATCAGTATACTCATTGACGATAGTAAAGAATATTTCACTTAAATGATATGTGTAAGCATTTCTGACATAGGTCCTGTAACAAAAACGCATCACTTAGTATGACGACTATGTTACCAATAACAACCGATTATCTGTCTTGTTTTCATTGCCACCCGTTCGAAGGAATCGATTGTAGTGTTATACGGTTTTAGTGTTAGCGACTAGCGTGCAGCGATTGTTAAAAAACCGACCTCAAAAGTACGTGGAATTACATCTATTTGACAAGTTTTATTGAAATCGGTTACCGGAAAGTGCGTGAACGGAACTTGACACAGGAGATAATAAAAATCGCTTCGACTATTCAAAGTATATTGAGAGAGAACAACGCCTTGAATTGGAGAATAGCAAAATCAACCATTAAAATATTTGCTCCTTATAATAAAATTTAGGCGCTATTTATAAAAATGAATCTTCATGCGTGAACAGCCACCCTTAGAGGTGGATGATTTTCCTTGAAATTAAATGGGACCGCTATGAAGGTTTCCAACAAAAAAGAATCATCAAAATCGGTTTACAAATATCGGAGTTATCGCGTAACATACAAAAAAAATACATATATACAGTCGAATTGAGACCCTCCTCCTATTTTTGAAGTCGGTTAAAAAGAAGATACTTCTTTTTCATTTCTTTCCGTTTAGAAATAAGATATGTATTAGAAAATTTAAAATAGCTATTAGTCATTTAAGAGGTTTGGGAATATAGCTAAACAACACCTTTACACGACTTCTACGTGTTTGGATGACAAAAATCCGAAGTAGAGGCCTGTTTAGCTCTTATAGGTTTCTTGATCTATGTTGTTTGATATATATTTTGTAAATTATAACTGTTTACATTATGTTCATTTACAAAGAACAACCTAGTTTCTTACTGATTATCACGATTTCTTTCGAATTTCACATGTTTTCTAAGAGTTATGTTGTATGTGAGTTGAGAAAGAACCATTCTCTCTCTAGGCTACCATCGCTCTAAATGGTCAGATATTTCGACTCATCCGAAGAACAAAGTGCAATGTGATTATGTGGTGCTTTCGTGGAGAAAACTGGAAAAACGATGTTTACCAGTTTGTGATTTTATTTGAAATGAAGACATGACAAACAAGTTTATTGAATAATACATAAGAACACAAATTTTGATTACAGAATATGAAGTACTATCTAGCCAGTATTTCAACAGAATATACAACGAAAAGAGCTTAAAACATAATCCGTTATTCAAAAGACCTATATAAAGGTGTTTTCAGATTTTTTATGTATTTATTATTTCGTTTTGGAAATATAAAACCAAACTACAGTTGATCTTGACTGTGGATGTCCGCAGTCAAGAACAACCAATGAAATGTACAATGTCCCGAGAATAAGTAGCATCTTGCACGTAGGTCTTTGTTCTACGGATGAGTCGATTTATTTAAAATATCTATAACATTTTCAATTTGATCTTCCGTCACGACTTCAGAAAACCATCTTCAAAAAAAATTTTCTTCTTCACCTTCTTGAAGTAGAAGCGTAAAGTTAGTATACTATATGAAATTACGAGTGTTGCCTATAGGGTAACTACGGCATTTACATGCAGGCTTCCTTCTATTATGTGTTACTTTTAAGTTTTTTAATTTTATTGTTAGTCAATTTTGGTAAATAAGTTGTCGTTGAAGTAAATAATGGGTTTATCTATCTGGTTAACTTCGTTCGACACATCCAATTTTATCTTTGTACCCAATCGCTAGTCGCTTCCACTAAAACTGCAATTTGCCCAACCCTGGGTTCGCAAGCGTCAATTTGCTGAATAAACATGGAACTTTACCTTATTATTTTATCCCTTCTTTCACCCTCAAATCCATTTTGTATATCCTGAGCAGAGAATTTCCAAAGTGCTTCGCTCGTGACCACACCAAAAAGGAGATCATATTTGTTCTGACCTACTCTGATTGCAAATATTCTGTCACCACTCCTTTTGTCGGCTTTTAAATTATTCACTCCTGAGACACTGGTAAAACCTTGAAGGTCATTTGGGATGAAAAACGTGAGCAGTTCTTTTGCATAGTCAGTCTTAACTACAACTCCGTCAACTGATGGTCCAAAAGCTGTCAAATAACTTGGAGTGCTGATTTCTGCAGACATGAGTTCTTCTAAGGGTACTTCTCGAAGACAATCAACGATTAGCTCGTGGTCTTTGACAATGTCTTCGGGGAGGGTGCAGTTCGACTGCTTGGCAAGTTGGACGGAGTAACTGACGGGGTCTTCTACTAACGCCCAGGAACTGAGAGCTGAGCCCGACAGGAGGATTGCACGATGGAAAAGACCTGAAACATTTGCACTTGTCAACATTTTTGCACATGTCACATTTACATCAAAAGATCATGATTACTAATAGTGATAACTATAGTGTCTTTTGTGTGTCTGGTTGTAAAACTAAATATTTATGTAACGTAAGTAGCATTCAACTGCCTCCGTGGCCGAACGGTTACCATACCGGACTGCCACGCAGAGGTCCCCGGGTTCGATTCCCGGGCCGGGAGAAATATTTGTATGGCCTACATTTATTTCTCTCGTGAGTTTGGGTGTAATTTGTGGTTGTCTATGTGTGTGTCCATGGCACCCGCGACACAGGGTTTCCCTAGTGTGGGGCTATGTTGAGTGTGTGCGTTATTATTATTATTATTATATTATTGACTTACAAATAAATGGACGACGGGTCTAATACAAAAACCACGAAAAAATGTCCCAAGTCAACCTATTTAAACGTAGTGACATGTAAAGGATTATGAAAAAGCTAAAACGTTGAATTTAAATTGTAATGTCATCGCAGTACTGTCTAATTTTGCTTGCTTCGCTGTCAGTCGAACAAACGAAGACTAAAGCGTTAACGACGCTCTGTATACGGTTTTAACGCCCTATAAGTTCGGACAATTTTAGCGCGGACCCGATGTCCATATAATTGTAAGTCAATGGTAAGTAGCATTCAATTTCATGACATTATATTTTATTGTCAACCCAGGAGCCAACTTTTTTTTTAATTATTCAAAGGTTAGCTGAAAGAATACCCTTCATGAGATAATTAAACAAAATAAATAAAGAAACGGGATTACATTTTTTGTGTTTTAAACTCTTTGTTAAATTTTGTAATTTCTTTAATTGTATAATAAATTTTTTTTACATACATGATTTTTTTTTTAAATCATTGCGAAAATCATCGCGTGTGTCGGTTATATTTTGTTGATATTAAAGGTTTTGTTTTAACTTCAGTAATGTTCAATAGTAAAAGCCGCCAATTTTCGACTTGACCGGTGTTTGTTTTTGGATAATTATGTCATAGTTCTCGTTATTATTTGCCGTTTGCCGTCTGTAGTTGTCCATATTGGATATAAGATATAAAGCTCTCACTTACCAGGCATGACAGTAGGTGAAATCATGAGGAAATTAATACAAGCAGCGCCGGAACCATGTCCCAACAAAGTGACATTGCCAGAGTCGCCTCCGAACAGAGCTATGTTTTGCTGTACCCAATGTAATGCTGCTATTTGATCCATAAGTCCATAGTTCGCAACTCTCGCTTTCATGTGCGGTATTGGATTAGCGTTAAGGAAACCTGTGAAAGATATTTCCAATTAGAATAAATGAAAGCTAAATCAATAAATACAGTAGAAATCCTTAGTTTGCGTGCCACGTATGCCAACAGTTCGCGGAGTTCCGCAAACTTGAGGTCAGTCTGCCATTTTTGCTTTTGTACGTTATGGTCGTGTCAATTAACTAGCCCAAAAGTTCGAAAATCACAAAAATTATAGTTGCACTTGTAACATTATCCATATCGGTGTTTCATATAATCATTAAGTCTTATTAAATTTAATTTTTATTAATTTTAAATTTTCTGTTTTTCATTTTTTTTGTTACAAGAAGTTAAAGTAAACCTTATACCGCTGCCATAATTATGGTCGCTTCTTTTTTGGAGCACTTAGTAAACTTTTACAATTCGTCATCACCGCCGTTCAATTATTAACTGCTATATGGCAGCATATTGATTGAAATTTCAATATAAAATCAAACAATGGCATTGAACTTCTAACGATAAACCAACAGGGTAAAGTTTTAATTATATTCACACAAACAGTCAGTATTTTTTGTTTGGTTAAAGTTTGCACCTCGCGTCCATTAGCCTACCTTCTATAGCGGTAGTATGTCGAAGGAAACTCTTACGACTTGATAGTCGAGCTGATGAGAGCTTGTGGCCGAATAAAGGGTTCCGACTACCAACTTCGTGCTTTAGTTTCTCTACTCCACATGCTATCTCGCGACGTACATTGGGAGGAGCAGTACCCGCTAATGGGTATAATAATGAGAGAGATGTGGGCTTCAAGCATCCCTTTATCAAAAACCAAACAATTAGTTATGCTAGTCAAGTTATAAAATTTGAAATAAAAAATTGAATGAAAAAAAACTAATCGACTCCTTACTTTCTCAAACTTAAAGTGTAAAATACTGACCGTTATTTCTCTCTACATTCTCGAGTCATGTAAATTTGTTAGGAAGCACCCACAGTTTTATTCACGTCTGACGAACGATAAACGAAATAACAGAAACTTAAACAAGCTTAGAGTACCTTTCTCCAAAATGAAATTAGTTACGTCTGGCCCGCACACCATGTTAATTAGAATTTGTAACCACATACCAAATTATATCAAAAACCTGGAAAGATTTTCACAATTTACTAAAGAACTAAAGGCATTTCTTGTTAATAAATGTTATTATGACTTACATGAATTTTTTGACGATACGTATGATGACAAATAACAATAATAATACAAATAAAAATACTTCGACATCTCTTATTAATAATTATTGAAATTAATGTATTGTATAAAGTAAGTTTTCTAATTAAGAATAATGCAATGTAATAATGTATATAATAATGTAATGTTGTGATATTATATTGTAATGTAATAATTTAATATAATTAAATAGTGTGATTTATGAATTTAGCCCTAAGATGTTGCTATGCCCTTGCAGGGCGTCACATGTATACCATCAACTAATGTTCCATCTTAAATTTGTAATGTGATATGCAATAAACAATTGAAACTCGTATCTTAAAGCATAAAGTTAGATAGAAAAAATGGATTGTATATACAAATTTTGCAGGATGATTTCACATTGGCCTCCTTTTGCGCAGAGGTTATGTCGCAAAAGGAGGCCGCGGAGCGGGTGCGCGAGGACGCGATAGACGTGCACCCGCTCCGGCGCAGACGTACGGGGAGAAGGCGAAGGCAGTTCGCTGCTCGCCTGATCCCCTAGTGAGACCAGCGGGCTCTGGACAGGGACTCCGGAGTCTGCATTGCACGGCCTCACTCGTCTGGGGGGCGGGTCGGAGGACAACCGACTCGCCCCTCCGTTGGCGCGGGAGCCCTGGCGTAAGCTAGGGCGGCCGGGCGGCGTCGTGGTGAATGTTCACTGATCCCACGGCGCCGACTCAACCGGCGAGAGGGAAACCCGGGGGGGTTTTAGTGGGGTAGTCCCTCCAGTCTGGAGGGAGAGTCCCCACATTACTCCTGAGTCTCCCTGGGCTCAGGGGTATCAATAAAGATTTCGCCCCCGTCAAAAAAAAAAGAAAATAGGATGATTTTACATCACATTTCCTTCACATTTGCAAGCTGGCTTTTGCGTATTCTTAAAATAATGCATCAAAGTTAACACTCTTGATAGAGAAATTTAAAATAAATAGAAAGTTTTGGCATCACCTGAATAATCACTCTTAATAAGATACGATACGAGATACGAGTTTGAGAAAGTAAGGCATCGAAATGTTTGATCGTATTAATGCAAAACAAAAGGAGATTAGCATTGACTTACAATTACATGGACGTCGGGTCCGCGCTAAAAAGTGTCCGAACTTATAGGGCGTTAAAATCGTATACAGAGCGTCATTCACGCTTTAGTCTTCGTTTGTTCGATTGACAGCGAAGCAAGCATAATTAGACAGTACTGCGATGACATTACAATTTAAATTCAACGCTTTAGCTTTTTCATATTCCTTTACATGTCACTACGTTTAAATAGGTTGACTTGGGACATTTTTTTCGTGGTTTTTGTATTAGATCCGTCGTCCATTTATTTGTAAGTCAATGGAGATTAGCAAATAATTTTACGTTAAAGCCAGAGACAGAGTAAAAATTAAAACGCCGTTCATTGAGCGTAAACCTAACCGAATTGCAAAAAAGTAATTGGTCTCAAAGAATTAGGTCGGCAGCTTAGCATAGGCATTTTAATTAAATTCTAGGTTATTAGTCCTGATCGCAATTACGACATTTAAACTTTGAAGATTTACTGTTGTTTCTAAACGCGTAACTGGTCTGGAATACAGTTGTCTCTTTCATTTTCTTTGAAAGAGAGGTCAAGGACAAAAAGACACTCGTGTATTTTACACAGTTGACTGAAATTCACTAGGAATTCTGTTTCAATTGTAGGGTTTTTATTGGAAATGAAAATATCGATGCTCGAAAGGAAAAACTTCTAACATGTGTTTGGAAAATATTACAGGAGAGCTATTTAAAGTAATTTTTTTAGGAAAAACATCATAGCTATAATTTTATTAGTTAGTAAAATCAGAGGTATTCCTTTTCTTAAAAAAAATACTTTAAAATCGCTCTCTTATCATATTTTCCAAATGCATACTAGGTGTTTTAACTTTCAGGGGTCGATATTTATTTTCGGATCGATATCGTATACATATTTGTTTTTTCAAACAAACAAGCCAGCCGTGACCGTGTGACCTGTAAAGGGCCCGAAACGTTGGTTTGTTTGAAAAATAAAAAAACAAATATACGCCAATTATTAGATCCGAAAAAATAGTTTCATTTCCAATTACGTAACAATAGCGATTATCGAGTACTCGATATGAAAGGATTTTAGTTTTTATTTTGGCTTGAACATGGTTAGTAGATAAAATCAACAATTTGCTGACTTTGACTTGATCTCGCAACATTATACGAAGGCGCCAAATTGTCTGATTACGTGAATATATGTGGAAACGATTGGAGACCATTTTGGGGGAAGTACGAACAAGGGACAGCGAAAATTAGGTACTGAAATAAAGGCAGCTTACTCGGGTATGACATTCGTTTTATATGAAAATTTTATTAACCTCTCTCTAGATGAAAGCAAAAGTTCAAAGAATTTACCTACCTCATTTTTTCTTGGAGCAACAATAATTTTAAAGTATTATTCACTCTCATATAAGGAACCTTTTATAAATCTAAATTGAATATCAAAAACAGAATATTTAAGTAGCTTCAACGGAGAGATTGGAGGTTGTGACAGGTTACAGTGTTACAGGTTCCACCCGATATAACTTTGAATACATAATAAACAATAAGGTCATAATAAACAATGAGTCGAAGGTGTCTGTGTGCGCGCACGTTCAAATGGGGTTAAATATAATACACATGACCTAGTATATTTGTCTATAAACGCAATAAAACGCACGACCACATTTAATCAATGTATATGTTATATCAGATGTGGAGTATTTATACGATTTGTATTGAATGCTCAAAGGGGCCCCTACATAATCGACTCACATTTCCACATAACCCTTTTAAAGAAGTGAACTGTTTTGACCCAAAATAATGTGCAATCACGCCAACTAACGGCTTTCAAACTTGGCAGTTCCTTGTACTATGATTAGGTAATGATACTCCAGAGGCATTCAAAACACCACCTTAAGAATATGTTCTATATGTTGTTATGACAAATAGACTACTTTTCTGTTTATACCGCTTGTAATATTTGAGATATAGAACCATCCAAGAAAGCTGCCACTGAACGAGGCTGCTTACAAGCAATAGGAGATGTTCTGTAATTATTTAAGATTATCAGAGTGATAAAGAAGTACTTACCCAAAATACCCAATCTATAATTGATAGTGATGACGACAAGGCCTGCATAGCTAGCCAGGACAGCGCCATCGTAGACGTTGCCGGAGTTCCACTCGAACGACTCGCCGTGGATGAAGATCACCACTGGATACTTGGCTTGGAGAGTTGGACCAACTGGGACAAAGATTTAAAATCAATAAAATGTAATTAAATATGTTCACAGGTTCATAAATAATCATAATCACGGACAAAATATCAGACAATGAAAAACCGATGTACGAATTAAAGCTGGTCTCATAAGTCGTCTAATACGCTTGCTGTTATCTAATTCATTTGGTATAGTATGATTAAACGCGCTCGTATTCGCAACTGACGTCTAGGCGCCTATTTTGCGTGGGTCCAAGTGGCGTCAATTTCTGCCACCCGGGTCCAACCTTAAATTTGCTGCCTTCTCTATTTTTCCGATTACAAAATTAGTTCGTCGGGCAGGCTCCGCTCGATTGTGTTTTTATATTCGCCTGCCATCGTCACCTCTGCGTTATTCAGGTTATCTCAAATAGTGGCATTTATTTTCTAATTTTAAGTGAAAAATATTATGTTGACTCCTATCGCCGTCGCCCCCGTTGCTGTTTCACCCGGGGCTATGGTCCCCTTTGTGCCCCATGGTACGTTGCTGGTGGGTTCTATTGATATAACACTAGAAGTATAGTTTAAAAACATCCGACAAAAAACAGTGTACACTAAAAAGTTAATAAAGACCTATTTAAAGAGCCTAAATAATTCTAATGTAACTAGAAAGAGGAGTGACAGTAGTCAATCGACTGTCTTAATTGCAGCATTAGGTCAAAGTTACCGTATAATTGTAACGTCATCGGATTCCCGTAGTATACCAAATTTCAAATCCTTCCGACAAGTGGGATTCATCGAGTATATAACCAGAAATAGAGACGATGGAAGGGCCATCTTTACTCATCACTTTTAAATCTCAACTCTCGTTTGCGCTGAAATCACAAATTAGAAAGCTGAAATAGTGCAGCGCCAATAACTGACCTGTGTGTACGTCTCCGTATATTCCAAAAATATTCTGTATTTATGGTAATAAAGATAATATTATCTGTAACAATGGGCAAAAAGCAAAATATCTAATTACAAAACAATGGAATCACATTTCATCGGTAATTAAATATTAAATATGTAATTTTTCAATTTACGTCCACAATAGCAAAGCTCAAGTTAAACTGGTCGATTTGAAGTGAAACAATCGATGACACCCGTCACTTGTTTTGAATTTGGGTTGGCCAATCGGAGTGCAGTGGTTACCGTAATGATTTGGCAGAATAGTTTTCAAACAAATTAAATGACATTTCGTCACTATTACTGGTTATATACTCGATCGTGGGAGTAAAATAAATGTTTATCTTACGACTGAGATCTCTATACCAACTGAGAAAAAGGCTAATGATCTTTAAACAGCTGCATTTATGAATAGAACCTTCCTGACTACGAGCGCACATGGCGTACTTTTTATTGCGGCAGATTTCATACAGTTACTTTTGTAGTGATCGCGGAGATGACGCGTCATCGAAACCGAGGACACGGTTTTCTAAAACCTGTGGATAATGTTTACTGTCTTTGTAAATAGTAGCCTAATTTATAATATAATTAAAAGAAAAAATACTTAGAGAAGTGCGACACCCGTAAGGTAAATAAATTAAGGTAACAACAGATAATAAGTACGTGATGACTATGGTACTGTTATTCAAGGTGACACTTGTCTCTTCCTGCAAACTGCTGTGTCTGACATCTTTGTCGTAGTTGTCTAAGATGTACACGATTTTATAATCAAGTAGCGTATTTCCCGCCTATACTTCGCTCGGAGAATAGGGATGTCACAGTATTATTTTAATTGTACCTACAGGTTGTAAGCATAATTTGAAAACATTAAAGTATTTATCACAGTATTCTCGTACTATATTATAAAAACAATATAATGATAATAACGTACACACTCATAGCCCCGGACTAGGAAAATTCTGTTTCGCGGTTGCCACGGACACGTGAAGAACCAAAAATTATACCCAAATTCACGAGAGAAATAAATGTAGGCTATAGAAATATTTCTCCCGAAAACCGAACTCTGCGTGGTAGACCAGTATGGTAACCGTACCCAGGCAGTTAAAAATAAGGTCACATCTGCAAAATTACAATTTATCAGGAAAGTGGTTTAAAGAGTTGTCGATAAATTTTTATGCTTCAATAGGAGACTTATAAAATTTTATTTATATATTACATAATTTGTTTAATGTAGTAGGTACTTTGATATTGGCATTGGGGCTCTTTTGTACTGCCCTCCTTGTCACATAACTAACGCATTTGCATTTAGGTAACTTTAGAGATAAAAAAAATATTTTTCTTTGAAAAATGTCAATTACGCTGTTTTTGTAAACAAAACTGAAACTATCGAGTTCTTAGGTTTCCGCGATTGTTCCACATAGGAAATGAAACTATTTTTCCGGATTTAAATCGCGTATATTTGTTTTTTCAAACAAACCGACGTTTGAAACCACCAACAGTCGAGCGAAGACCTGCCATCTTACCTTACGTGAGAGGTGTTACAGACAAGATCGGAAGAGTCCTCAGGCGTGCATCCATCAAGACCTATTTCAAGCCCCTAAGGAAGATTTCTCAGTTTCTGAGACCCGTGAAATGTAACATCCCCTTACAGGATGCAAGAGTTTACAAGCTTGACTGTGAGTGCGGTCTCTCTTAAATTGAACAAACAAAGCGAAGTATATGTACCCGCGTCAAAGAACATATAGCTGATGTCTAACACCGTCGCGTAAACAAGTCTGCAGTCTGCGAGCATGTCATGGATAAACCTACACATTCAATGAAGTTTGACAAACTCCAGGTCCTTGCAAAAGAAGTCCGTTATCTACCCAGGATGCTGCGAAAGGCCATTGAAGTTAAAAAATATCCTAATTTCAACAGGGAAGATGGTTTCTCCGTACCACCAGTTTGGGATCCAGTATTTCCTCTAATGAAAAATCCCAAACAGACATAAGACTGCAGTACTAATTAATATGTTTGAGTTTATTCTAATTTCTATTAATAATTAATAATAAATTAAACTTAATAAAAATTCATTCAATAAAATAATTTGTAAAACTTAATGTAGCGTAAATTGGAATGTTTTGTTTGTAAAATTAAAAATAAGGTATTTAATTAATAACTATTGTAACTATAGTGAAAAAATAGGGTGGTTTGCATTAATATTAGACATAACTGGTTGAAGACTGTACCACCTCAGTCAACCGTGACCATGGGACCTGTAAAGGGCCCGAAACGTCGGTTTGTTTGAAAAAACAAATATACGCGATTTAAATCCGGAAAAATAGTTTCATTTCCTAAAACTGAAACTAAATAAGATATAAAAAACCGCTTGTATATCGGTTGCAGATTTTGTTTCGCTAATTCCAGATCTGTTAATAACTGAATTTCGCCAAAAATGCCAAAAACGTTAGTTATTATACGGAGGGTGTGATTTCATTACTAACCCATTTGATTCCCGGGCCAGGAAAAATATTTGTACGGCCTACATTTTTTAAAATAAACAATAGACACACGCTTGGCTACAGTCTCGCCTGATGTCAAGCGATGATGTGACCGACGATGGTATGCGTTTGTCTAAAAATTACCTATTCGATCTACCCTTGAATAACACTAAATTGTACTTTTCAGGAAACACAGATATTACAGACTACACAGAAGGTATACTATTCCATTCCTTTGCTGTACCCATCAGAAAGGAGGAAGCAATGCACTTAGTGCAAATGGGTGGTATATCAACGACATTGTGAAAGTGTTCGTCCAGTGATATCAGCATTACTGTGTTCCGGTTTAGAAGAGTAAGGGTGCTGGTGAAATTACAGGCACATGAGACTTGTCAACTTATGTCTCAGGGTGACGGGCTCAGTGCACTTCAAATCTTTGCGATTTAATGCGACTTGTTCGTCCCGTTACTTGATATTATAAAAAAAGACATAAGGATGGAGTGTTCCGGACCATTCAGTCGACCGAAGGAGGAACGGTGAGGGTGGAACTAAATTGAAAATTGCGCACACTCCCCGGAAATGTATCCGATAGAAAACCGACAAGCAGGCTATTTTTCTGCGATAGTAGAGATTTTGTAGCTTCGAGTCCACAAGAGAATTGTTGAACGTTTATTTATCTCGCGACTTTGAGTATAATTTGTGGTTGTCCATGTGTATGTGTCCCTGGTGCCCGCGATACTGAGTTTCCCTAGGCTTCGAGTTTATGCGTTATTACCATTATTATTGTTATCTCGATCAGTGTTCAGATTTTACATAGTTAAAATGTGTTGGTTTTTGTTGTATCTTTGAACCACTATGCTCTTCAATCACCAGTCTCTTCGGGGGAGTGGGTTCATATCCCACCGTCAATATGTTTCATATTAATGATACACAGCGAGTGTGCGACAATAACTGGTTTATTCTTTTTATACATCGTTACATTAAACTTACCCCGAAGAGGTCGAGTTTCACAATATTTCTAGGTAAGATTGGCATTAAAATTGGCACACGATTTAAGGTTGGGAACTGGTAAAAACATCAAAACAAGACGAGCAGCATTGCTCGCTTCAAGCGATTAAGCAGTGTGTGACGACGCAAACAAGGTGAGAATGACGGGCAACGGAATTAAATAACGATTCAAAATTTGAAAACAAGTGGCCAGGAACCAAAGAAAAGATGATAAAAAGGAGGAATGACAATGGAAGGAGATCGCATCGTCACACACCGCTACATTAGATTACTTAAATCTACCCACAATATTGAATTTTGTAACGTAGTTGGAAAACATAACACAAAAAATATTTATCTACCACATTGTCACTGCAAGTAAAATAAAACTGTAAATAAACGAAAGAAAGAAAAGAAAATTGCAGAAAACTTATCTGTCCTAATCCGGAGATTTATAGCGTCTCAAAAACGAGCAGATAGAGGAATCTTCCATTAGACAATTTTAGCTGCGTTTTCCTTGTAACCTATTTATTTACATGATAGATGGTTGTAAACGGAGGTCATTTAGAATCCGGAACAATAAACAATCGAATAACTTTTAAAGGTTTTAAAAGTAACCTTAATGGGTAGATA